ATATTTTCCAGTCGTTCATATATTATTTATTGTAAAATATATAAGCGTACAGGGAACAAAACTGTGCATCAGATGAAATTAGTTATCATCGGTTGCATACCGAACGCGTAAATAAAGCAAAACACTGATAAAGAGGTAAGTGATTCATGAAATCTGTAAGCGTAAATATTCAATTTACTTAGGTATTTGGAAGATAAAGGATGATTTTATTTCAATATATGATGGCACGTGAAATTGGAGGTGCATGAGAGTACGAGATACATTCAGTTCATAAGAGATCGATAACAGACAGACAGACAGACAGACAGACAGACAGACAGACAGACAGACAGACAGACAGACAGATGATGGTCATACAATTTATGACTTCAGAGTTGATCCCACGCATCCAAATGCTTCAACGAAATAAAAAAACAACCAAGACAAATTGGGAATACTACTGAAAAGAGGACAGAAGTTTATTGGACCGGGAACCAACGAGGAAGTTTTTCTCTTTTAAACTGCGGAGAGGGAAATACTGGGGAGCACCATAGCCCACGTGGAAGAATACAAGCTGTCTCGAATTCGAGGATTATAGCTGAGAGACGGAAGTCTTTCGTGTATGAAAATGAAACTAGACAGTCCATGAATCCCGATGAAATCCTTTTCAGTTTTTTAGGACCATGCATTCAATATGTGGAAACGGAATCGAGGCGTCTTACAAGGATATCATTATTTACATACATATATTGATAACAACTACGTGTGCCAGATTACTGTGAAGGAGTCTGGTATTGATAGCCTGTATTGAGGTTTAAAGTGATGTGAACACATTCAAGGTCAAATCGGAACATAGCACAAGTGAATATTTGGTCGAGGCACACCTGAGATGGTGGAACGCCCGACTATCAAGTCATCAGCATAATGGAGCGCGGTAACGTTTAAATCTGTCCGAAGGCTATTAAAACACTAAAAAAACAGGAATTTTGAAGGGATTGAGGAAACGCTCGGAAATGTTCAGATACTGTTTTGAGTCCGAAGTTGAAGTTGTCACTTGTGGCGCTCCTGGAGCGCATTTGCAATCACGTGATCTGCCAATATTTCCCTCACAGAGTTGGCCAGTTTCGCATCCACTGCATGGTTGCAGTTGAAAGAAACGAAGTCAGCGACCAGCTAGCAAAATTTTGCACAACTTCCAGTCTGAAAGGACTCAAGAAATACATTTGGAATATCTGCAAAATTAGAAACAAGGTTCTTTATCAAATTATGTCATGGTTAATCCCTACCCCCTCCCCTGTCACACACACACACATTCACCACTGAAAAGACTGTAAGTTACTGCAGAGCTTTCTCAGTTGACTTTCATAGAATCAACTACATTGCGTATTCAAGGTAAGTTTCTGACTTTTTGGATTCGAACTAGCGAGCGTTGAAATCCCACACATTAGCAACAATTAGGTCTCGTGCTTTGGCTCATACATATGAAGTGGCGCATAAAGCTCTCCGATATTAGGCGTTGACTGTCTTCAATCAGATATGGATAGGTTCCTTAATGCCAAGTCAAGTAAATACTCCGATGTACCCGGAAGCTTCACCATTCAGCTGCGTTTTCCTTTTTCTCATTGGTGGTTCAGTTTAGTTGAATAAACAGTTAACGAGGTTATTACTTGATTTATTTGAGTAGTAAGATATTAAGTAGGTGAACCCGATGTGTGCTCGGTGAACGTGCGCTGTTAGCGGCCCGTAACAACGAGTTGCATCTTTTGCAGACCAGTCAATCGCGACGGTGTGTTTATTCGTGTATGTGTGTGTGGCGTGTTGACCTTACAGGATGAATCAGCTTCTTTATTCACTAAAACTTAAATGATTATTCAAACAAACCAAACAAACAAAAGGTCCAAAATTCTGTTTCACTGAGTGAACTAACATATTTCAAATTGAAAAAATCGCAATTTATCTCGAAAGAAACGAGTGAACTCATCGATTGATGATTGATTACGATACGTTCAGAAAATTACTATTATTACTAGTACTGTTATTATTATGATTATCATCAGTAGTTCACTCAAATCAGCAGTGCCTAACCACTCCTTAAAACCTTTAGATTTGTCTCAGCAGTGCGTAACTGCCATCACGTCAATGACATGTTCTTCAGTACCTCGATTAAAGAATTCCCCACAGACCGCTGACCCGAAACCCAAAACACACCTATCCTCACCCCCTATCTGCCCCCTTTTTATGGTATCTAAAACGCTCTTTGCATCAATGAACACAGGAGCTGTCATCAGTACTTGTTGGGTACAACAGACAATAATGATTTTGGGTGAAGTTTTCATCCCAATGAGAAAAATTGACTCATTTGGATGAACGGGATGTGTGAAACGAATTGTTTGCATCGGCTTCACTACGTAACCCACTTGTGCTCTAACCTATCTACTGGTCAGACAGGATCCAGAGGGAGCTGTTGAAAAACTCCATACATACCCAAATGTGTCTAGCCGGAAATTTTGACAAAACCATAGCAGATGTGATTTCTGATGCAAATGAGGAAGCTCTACTTAGATGAGCAAGGTTTGAGGCTCGCATCAATCTTGCCCATGTGGACTTTACTGTATCATATATAGACAAAAACAATGTCCGATTCAGTGGGTAGCATGATTGCGTTCTGTCTGTGAGGTTCCTGGTTCAATCCTCTTGATAGGACTGCACATTGACGTGTTGAGATAGCTTGATTGCTTCGATGATCATGTGAGCTATGCATAACGGCTTCGTACAAGTATGCCTGAAAGATGAATGAATGAATACCAGAG